GCTATTGCTTCGCCTAATACTCTTAATAACCAATTATCTAATCTATCAAATCAAACATCACCTGTTTACTGCCAATGAATCGGGAAAAGTCATTCGTTTAGGATTCCCGGACATAAAGGCATTCACGGGAATGAAAAAGATGATCTTATCAAATCTGCCTCTATCCATGGATATAAACCACCTTTTCAACTGCCCTACATGGATTATTAAGCGAATTCCGATGCTTCTTGTAAGAATTTGCTTCGCGCGCATCTTGAAAAAGAATTCAGAATTAAAGGCCAATTATATGAAGAATATTATTTTAACAACATGAAATCCTGGTTTCATAGACTGCTCCTCTTCATAGACTGAGAGAAGAAATTTTGTCCTTATTAACAGAATTCATTCCAATCATTACAATTTAAATTACAGTCTGTACCGAAAAAATTTTGTTAACCCCAGTTTCTGTCCTTGTGATGATCCAAGACAAGATATTAATCATGTAGTCTTTTATTGTCCGCTGTTTACTCCTAAATCAGGTTCTTTAAGATCTTTTTTTAGAAAAAAATTTTCTTTCTGCTCCCAATGATTTGCACTCTATCTTAAAACGTTCTTCCGCTGCCCTTTGTCGTCTTCTCTTAGCTTACTTTAAATCTGTCGACCTTTCACCGTAAATCTTTGACACGATAAGTATAGCGCGCGCAGTAATGATGGCGGATCGCGCCCGGCTACTGACCTCGCGTAACGTTATCCCAGCGGCGGCGGCGATGAACCGTCATCATCCTCCTGCCCCCCTTGGAGCTCCCAAATTAGAATCTGCTTACCTTTACTACTAATAAACACACATATTTATGACGCAATAATATTTTATATATTGTCACAAAGCTACATTTTTTTATAATTATCATTCACATAGAATATGGATCAAACATATGATAATAAAGTGATTTTAAATTTAATATAAATATATATGTATTATAATTATATAATAAAATCATACAATAGATGTATGCATCTACGAAATGTTTTTAATAATAAAGTATAAAGTTAATATATATTATATAAATTAATTATTTAAATAGTCAAACTTTCGACATGAGTTCGTCATTCTTTAATAGTATTTTTTTATTTTTGTGGAAATCGCTAGTAAGAAAGAAAATAACTTTCCTTGATTGTACAATTAATTACGCAACGTTTTCACACATATTTTCTCGTAGACTCTTGCCACCTGTTAGTGTTATATTTGTACACTCAACACAATCCATACATAATATAATTATTAATGTAATAATTACATAATGTATTATCATATTTGATAACACGTAATCACACTTTAATTAAACAATATTATTTTCATTGATTTCTTTTAGTATCTTACATAAAAAGTAACCAATTTCTTTAAAAATTATGTGACATAAACATTGCAAGTCTCCAATTGCTATGTCACAGGATCACAATAATTACTGGATGTTTCTCAGCAACGGAACATAGTCATACACTGTGTGACACAGTAATACACAATTGACTTATAACTAAAATGTTGCTACTTTTTTTTATTTTACTACCAAAATGTAATAAAAGAAAAAGATCTATTATCTAAGTCCGAATATATTTAAATATAATCTCTTTTATCGAAGTATCATTCCCAGAAAAGTAAATGGTAATGAAATAGGGTAACTTCGGTATATACCACATCTAACAAAAACATAGAAATATTTATCTTTTTAAACATAGTAAATAATACTTAATTTATTAAAAATAAATATTTTTTTTATAATAGTAGATAATACAAAGTTTTTACTGGTATAGTTCATTTACCTTAAACATAGTAAAAAATATTTAATTTATTAAATATTACTTACTATGTTTAAGGTAAATGAACTATACCAGTAAAAACTTTGTGCTGTTTACTACTATGAAACAAATGGTAAATATATCGTATGAAAAAAATATTTGAAAAATATTAAAAATCCAAAATATTAGGTGTACAAAAAAGTTCTGAGCTTTAGATTTGATACAACCGAAATAACAATTTAAATTTTATATATCTTCCCGCCCTTTTAGGGTTTTAAAACAGTAACATTTAACCTCCTGAAATGCGATACGGTTTGGCGTTTGATGCACATAATCTCAAAAATCAGTAGTGTTCACGATGGCAATTACAAAAGAGCATATTCGATTTTCCATCCACTTCGCGTTTCATCTGAAGAAAAATGCTGCTGAAGCCACTGAAATGATTTGTGCTGCATATGGAGAGAACGCTGTAAGTCATGCAACATGCAAAAGGTGGTATCAAAAGTTTCGCCAAGGAGATTTCAGTCTTAAAGATGAATCGCGTGCTGGACGCCCTGAAAAGATTGAAACGGACGAATTGCAAGCACTGCTGGATATAAACTCTGCGCAAACTGAAAAGGAGCTTGCAGAACAGCTTGGCGTTACGCAGCAAGCCATTTCCGTACGATTACATACGAATAAAGATTGAATTTTACAAAAAAAAGCTCAGAACTTTTTTGTACACCTAATACTTATTTTTCGTATTAGAACTTTTTGAAACCTTTACATTTTTGCTGCATATCCCACAGAGATGGGATACGTGACTGGGATAATGGGGTATAACTCATAAAAAATTTATAAATAATGCTTAGAAATAAAACGTAAAATGACACAATAACTTATAAAATACAAAGTTTTATTAAAAAATAAGAATGATAAATATATATTGTACACACATATATATATATATATATGAGGTAATAGGTAATTATAATCTTTTACATATACTAGAAGTGTTATAATATTATATAAGGTACATATTTCATATAATGCATTTATTGCATTTAATGCACTGAATTCAATCTGCGCACTCTATATAGTTTGGACAAAATGCTGTATATCCTCCCCTCCTCCCAAACAGGTGGAATATACAAGACATCAAGCTAAACAAAGAATATAAGAGCTGAGCACTTGTGTTTTGCTATATACCATTCTTTACCTTTACACTTTATTACACTTTATTAACTTTTACACTTATGTATCATCAAATAACCATTGAGCCTTTTGCAATCTCTACAGTAATCATTTTATGTAGGTTATGATATATGATATATGACTACTCACTACATTGACAAATCGATTAAATTGACAGCAATTTTATTAATATTAACAGTAGAAAACTGAAATCATAACACAACAATAATAACATAAAGACAACAATAATAACATAAAGATACGATACTAATATAACGGAATGGTTGCTTGCAAATTATCCTCACTCCTTCTAACTTCTGCAGCATAAATTTCAACGCGGTGTAAATATATCTGGAGACACTGGTACTGTCTCGCCGCTAAGCATGACGCGAGACACTGCCGTGCCTTCTTTACGCGAGCCGGTGAATTGCGCCAGATCGAATCGGAGTTACCTTATAAATATTTGATATTTCGTGAAGTGCAATAGGGAGTTTTTGCAATAACGTGAATTCAGATACAGTGAACGCTAAAATCATGTTATCCTTTTCTTAATTAGTTGTTAAGAAGAAAATAACTTAACCTTAGCGTTCACCGTATCTGGATAAACGGTATTGCAAAAATTCCCTAATGATGGTGCAGTCGAATACATTTTAACTGTATACGTTTATGTCGACTTGTATTACAATTGGAAAGCATGGAATCGTACAGTGTTACACAGTGACGCCTGTGTACGTTGCTGAAAAGCAGCCGAAGTAGCTCATATGTAAGCAAATGCGTTTTATACAAATATATCTCAAATAGAAAACAGTATTAAAGTCTACATTTAATATATATATCTCCCATTTTTTAAAAACGCTATAGCGAAAAAACATAGGTAAAACTGTCGAGATTGTTTCAGATATATCTATAAAGTATCATCGTGAAAAGAGTAAAGTATGAATCTCAAATATAGAGAAATAGAAAAATATATGTTACAAGGGAAGTGATCAGATTTCAAAGATCCTAGACTAGAACGCTGAAATTACAATATTCATAGCCTTGCTTTCTAAAGTTCTGTCGATTAGAAAAATATCACAATTCTGTCATTCAATATACCGTCTCTAATACTCTACAGCACAGAGATAAAATACTCCATTGAAGTATACAATTGCGACACCTTTACATATATAAATATTTTCTTTATTTCTGTGATTTTTTAATCCTCTATTTGTAAAAAGAATAAAAAAATTTTTGTAAAAGAAACTCTCGGGTCTAAATTACGAACAATATAGAAAAAAATAGAAAATAATTATTAATGCAATCCTATATATCAACAATAAGTATCACATTACACGGCATCATAAGCATATCATAGCTCTCAAAATTAATAATTATCTTTTAAAACGTTAACTTAATAATCATTAATAATCATATGAATACATCATAAAACAATTAAAGGGTTTCCCACGAGAACTAAATAAATCATTTTTTATCTTTATTATGGCATCAAATCTCTATAGCATCAAATTCTCTATAGTAGTATCACATCGTAAACAATTTTGTTTCAGCAAGAAAAATAGAAATATAAAACGAGAAATTTAAAAGTTTGACATTTAAAAAATGTTTTTATAACGATGTTTTCTTTAAGAGCAATTTATAAAATTTTGTAAATAAGAACAAGGAAATTATTGCTTTATAATTTCAATAATATTTTTTTGTTCATTTATCAAGATTGGGCAAAATACATCATCAAAATATTTAAAATATAAAATACAAAATATTGGCAATCTTAGTATTTGAATTACAAAATACAAAATACTTTCAATCTTTCAATTTTGAAATACAAAATATTTTCAAAATTTATATTACAAATACAAAATACAAAATATTTCAAAATTTTTTGTTTTAAATACAAAATACTTTCTTTGAGTATTTCAAATACAAAATACGTTTAAAATTTGTATTTCAAATACAAAATTTTTTTTTAAATACAAAATACAAAATATTTTCAAATTTTTTATTTTAAATACAAATACAAAATACTTTTTAATATACTTTCAAATTTTTTTTGCTTGCCCGGCATTTTCTCGACCAGTCACGACTGCGAATTAACGTTTTTTTTCTATCAAAACCCTTCAATTGAGTATATGTGACACTCACTGAACGGACAACTCCGTCAAAATGCAAATAATATTTAAAGATTTTTTTTTTAAATATGACATACAAAATAATTCGATTATTTTTTAACATACTCAATCATTTAACATACTCTTCTTAAAATGTAGTTGGCTTCGAGTATCACGATAGTTCTACTTAAAACGCTACAAATGTGTACAGAGTGGTGACCCAAACTTTTTGACACGTCGGAAAGACCATTCAAAATATTTGGGATATATACTCCATATAATAGAATACATTTAAAACTTCTTTCTATAAATCTACTAATAATATTAACGTTTTAATGAAACATTAGCTTACCAACATTTCTATTGTGTTATTTTGCTATCATTCTTATTGAATTGCATTATTATTATCAATGGCTCCATTAGGACACCATACAGATGCAGCAGACCTTAAAAAGTACACAATTATATATTTATATTATATAGACAGGGCTAGGCACGTATTTAAAATACTTTTATTTGAAAAACAGTACTTATAAGATAATTGTATTTTGTATTACAGTGAAGTACATGAAAATATTTTGTATTTCATGGGACCATATATAAGTATTTTGTATTTTGTATTTCAATATTAATATCAAAAGATTAAAAATATATTTTATATTTTGTATTTCAAATACTGACAATTAATTATTTGAATTACAAAATACAAAAATTTTTAATCTTTCAATTTTAAATATAAAATACAAAATACATTTGTATTGCAAATACTGTGTTTTTAATAAAAATATTTCAAATATATGTCCAACTCTGCATACAGACAACATATCGTAATGTAAATATTAATACAAACCTTAAGCATGAAACCGGCATTGTGGCAATAGAATAAGATAGTGCTGCTGCTACAATAATACTTCCCGTTCGTAATGGACATAGTAATATTGCTGTTGTACCATATTCCAGATATAAGAAATAACCCAGAATAAATTGTAATAAGATTATTATTAAAATTGGTAAAAATCGCCAAACTATATGGAATTTTGACAAGATTCGCAAAGGACATTCAGCGTCTCGTAATCTGAAATTTAGGATAATTTAGCTTTAGAAAATTTTTTCATCATCGTAACAATGGCTGCGTTCAGCAGAACATTTATTTTGCAACTGTTGAAAGTTTTCTTTTGAACACTGATTGAATTATACTTTTAGATCTAGAAGATTGACTCCTCCTCCTATCTCAGCAAACAATCATAAAACGGTTGCACAGTTGAGTCTGCTGAATACAGCCAATGTTATTATTGCAGTATCACGGACCTACGATCAATGTGATGCGCTAAAGTTACTGTAAGAGGCAAATGGAAACACAGTAACTGAAGGAATCCATAAGCATAAGTTAAACCGCCTGGTAAATACATGTTTCCAATAAATGTTCCCCACACAAAAATTACACCTGTGTGATCTTCAATTATTTCTCCCATAGTCCATGGACCTTGAATTTATAATTCATTAAATTAATTTTATAAAACTACAGTACAAGTATGATCAATTAAATGTACAATATAAAGATAAGTAATAGAATTACCAAATATCATCAGTTATGCCTAATATTTTATTTTTGGAACAATATTCCATTTATTGAATTCATAATCAATTCAGTATACTGATGCTAATTTTATAAATTTTCCCGATGTATTTACTCACTTACCGACAGCAAAATATAACGTATACAACACTAGTCCATAAAATACTCTATCAACGGCGGATAGTATCCATAATTTCCTCAGCCACAAATGAAAAAACTTCATACGTCGCCGCGGTAGTTCTATTCGGTTATCTAAATCATGAAAAGTAATAGTGAATAATAAATAAACATTAATCAACAATAAGAGCCAAATTTTAATATATTTAAAATTATTCAAACCTTTTTGTCAGGCCATCTTCAGTGTTTACAATGTTTGGCAATAAATTAATTTTCTGTTATGGTTGGATACATATAATTCTGAATATATAGTTACACTAGCATAATGATGACCGTAGATTCTTCATGTATTAATATGTAAAAATATAATTCCTTCTCTCTCTTGTAATGTAGTTAATTAATATTTATCCATACAATTGTATCTAGCAGTTGCAATTTATGGCCCATATTAATAATCGATTGAAAATATTGAGTTAGTCGATAAAAAAGTATAAGCACACATTCTGTCAATTATAAGAATAAATACAATAGATTATAAATTATTAAACCAATAATAAATGAATGATCGTTACATTCATTGATTGTTCACATAAATAATTGTTAAATAAAACAATCTTTATAAATATATAATAAATTAAAAATTGTGTACATATATCTCAAATGAGAAGGCATAGCAAGGATATTATTCCAATAATTAAAAACAGTAATGCCCATTTCCACTAATGTAGATCAACTTTAATTTCAGTTCAACTTACTCTTCGTCTTTTTCTAATCTTTAGAACTAGAAAAAGATGAAGAGTAAGTTAAACCGAGATTAAAGTTAATCTACATTGATGGAAACGGGCATAAGTCAATTAATTTTTTGAAGCAAATTGCGATCCAAGTCACAAAATTAAAACATTCAGTCAGAAACTAGCGACGTTCTGATACTATGTAATAACAGCTAGATTTTTGTAATTGTTGGAAGTGGGGATAAAATTGGAAGAGAAAAAGAGATAGGGATAGAAACGAACGAAGGGAAGAAAGAACATTACGAAGGGGAAAGAGACTGCAAGATCTATAGATAAGAATTCGGTAATGATTTAATATCATTTTGTTTGTTCAATCCTAATTTTTTATTTTTTATATGAATCATTTCGGAGATTAATCTTTTATTGTAAGACGGCTCTTTGTCTAAAATCTTTACGTCAATTAAAATTGTGGTTGTAATTTATATGATGGTCAGTAATCTGATGGAGAACCAATTTTTTTCTTAATGTCCGAAATGTGTTCATTTAATCTTGTTTTCAGTTTTCTTTTGGTTTGTCCTATGTAACTCGCTTCAGTTTTCACAAAAAATTTTATATTGTAGATAACATTATGATTAGTCAAAGAATCTAATTGATCTTTTCTTCTAGTTATAAGACTTTTTAGAATATTAGAGATGGAATATGCTAGTTTATAATTTATTGTTATAGACAAAAAATTTTCAGAGATAGATTTTACATATGGAATTGTAAAAAATTTTTTTTTAATTGATGTAAACATTTTGTTTTATATTATTATTGTATATGTGGTATTTTAATCTTTTTTCTATTGTTGAAAAAATGAAGGAAAGAGGATAGCCGTTATTTAAAAAGATATGAATAGCATCAACCAGGTTCTTTATTTCATCCTAAAACCGAGGATGAGACAATCTGATTATTCTGTTCACAAAACCAAAAACCACGTCTTTTTTATGACTCGGAGGGTAGTGTGAGAGAAAATTAAAAAATCTGCCTGAACAAATAACCTTCTGGTATCTATTAAAAATAATCTTACGGTTGTCAATAATCATAGTGACTAAAAAACTTAATTTACCATCAATACCGATCTCCATAGTGATGTAGTCTGGCACGTAAAGAGTTAAATATTTATAATATTTCATTAATACTTCCTAATAAAGCTGCTAAAACGATGTCATCCACATACCGGAAGTAGAATAATAATACTACAGTAATTTTTGGATCGCTATTTCTTCAAGATCCTGCATAATCATATTAGCAACAATTGATAACAATGGTGAACCCATTAAAGCACCAAAAGTTTGCTTATAAATTTTGTTGTTGGATGAAAAAAATGTAGCGTTAAGAACCAGACGGATAAAAGCTAAAAACGTTCTTCTAACGGAATGCTTATCTTTTTTTATATATAATTCTATCTCTTTTTAACTTTGTTTAATGCTAATTCTACCGGAACGTTCGTCAATAAAGATACAATATCTAACGATATCAAAAGGTAATTAGAATCAAAATGGGCTACATTTAATTCCTCGACCTAATGGAAGCCATTTTTTATATAACTAGAAGCTTCTGCTATGCTACTGACGATGATGTTGTGTAAGAATAGAGATACACAGTATAACAGACTATTGACAATTACTCTTATAACCAGGCTTGTGAATTTTCGTTAAACCGAATGCTCTGAGTAAATTACCATCCGTCGTAAGTAATTTTCTATATGTGGATTCACCGATGAAGCAATTCTTTTTCCATTTAACGTTAAGTAAGGACTGTAATTCAGAAATCAACTTATTTGTAGGATTTGTATCTATTATTTTGTATGTATCTGTGTCTGAAAAAATTATTTCTATTTTTGAAATATAATCGACCCTGTCTAGAACGACCGTGACATTTCTCTTATCTGCTTTCGTGAGGAGTAATTCTGAATTATTACATAACATCAGAACGTCGCTAGTTTCTGACTAAACATGTTTTAATGTTTTTACTTGAATCGCAATTTGCTTCAAAAATTAATTGACTCAGGAGCCGATTCTGTAACGACAGTCGTTGATGTCATTGCGCAGATATTATGTAGAGTAAAAGAGCTGCACAATGACATCAATGACTGTCGTTAAGAATTACATAATCGACCTTACCTGTCTTTAATTATAGGACTAATATCATTGCTACGCCTTCCCGGTTGAGGTATATATATATATATATATATATATATATATATATATATATA